ATATGTCCTACAGCAAGAAGCGTTTGATTCTTTCAGATCTTTTATATTATACTGAAAAAAAATCAAGGTAAGTCAATTGTTCTGCGGTTTTTCGAACAGTTTTTTTTTTTTTTTTTTTTTTTTTTTTTTTTTTTTTTTTTTTTTTTTTTTGATGACATAATTATATTTATCAGAAACAAGGTGGAGAAATGGTGCTGGGTCCACATCGTTGTGCGAGGAAAGCATAACCAAGAAATTCCAAAAAATTTCCCTCAGTTTCGTACTGGTACTAATTAGAGCAAAAAATTCGTTGGAATTTTTTGGCTCTGTTATCCTCGCGAAATGGTGTGGACCAAGCACCATTCCTCCATCTTGTTACACACAATTCGAGCCATTTTGCTAGCGTGTTTTACAGAAATATTTGTGTGTCGGCAATACTCGTACTTTCAAGCTTCGGAACGGAGGTCCAAACTTAGGTCCAAACGCCAATATCCACGGAAATTCACGTTTCTTCAGTGATCCACTTAAAATTTTATCCAGTTTCAATCAAAGTTCAATTATATCGGTTCATGAGCTTTGGATAAGTTGCCTTGGACCACTTGAGGCGTAAAATGCCTGGTTCCTTTAGATCCAGCAAGAAATCTGAATAATCTCATGTGGACCACCGAGGAACCGCGAATTTTAGTGGATTCTGGAGGACACTTTGGAAGATTTGGAAGAGGACTAAATATGTTTATTTTTGCGTTATTTATTTTTAATTTCATCTTAAATCATAAAATGCGCGGATGAGGATGCGAATACTTCCCTTTGCAATGTCTGTATTCACATTTTCAAGGCAGTGTAACTGCATCATCTGATAACACGCACTGCTGTCATTTTAGACGCATTTTGTATTTACATACCTACCTATTTATTAATCTTTCTATGGCGGACGCTTTAAACAGTTGTTATCAATAATGTAACCTCATTACGATCCTGCAAAACTGCGGTCCATGCACCACACAGGTTTAACTCGATTGAGCCCATTCATATTTCATCAAAATTGCACATCCTCCCTATGTGTCCATATTCAAAAACGGTGCCCATCCCCCAAAAAACGGACGTTAAATCACAAGTGAGCGACTAATTTGATTAAAACTTAACTCGCTGCAATTTTGACTCAACGGGCGAGCGATTATTTTAAATATGGACGTTTGTTGTGAATAAATCCTTGATCTGTTTTCCGGGCCCCCCCCCTCATTTGGACGTTTTTACGCCAAAAGGAACTATGTGCATAGGATATGCGTGGAACATAGTTCCTTTTAGCAGGAATACGTCCATTTGAGGTTTCGCTTGAGGGCGGAGGGGCGCGAATTAGGGTTGAAACCGCTGTTTGACATAAAAATGGGGGCGGTGGGCGAGGGGGTCGCCATGGGGGTGTACCGATTCGCGTGAAGGTTCTCCGGGGAATTTCGCGCAAATGCTGCCCCATTAGTGCGAGGCTCGTCCGACGATGATTTAAAGGATAAAAAGAGCAATTACAGTTATAAATGACAGGATTAGCCATTGAAAACTGTCGCTAATTGCTGCCACCACGAGTGTGTAAAAAAAGTCGTGCGCGTGGAAAATATTTCATTTTGGAGTTGGAGGCCGGATTGCCAAACCGGCCACAACCCACACTTGACCATTCATTTTATAACTTGTTTGTTGACTCAAATTTAGTATTTCGTATGCCAGGTATTTCGAGGATGCAAAATACGACGTGGTTAAATATCCGTTTCGCTTCAATGAAATGCAGTTCAATCGCTTCAAATGCAGTGAATCGCGTTAATGAATGCAGATTCATTGAGAAATACCATGGTGGTAGAATGGTGCTGGGTCCTCTTCAGAAAAAAAATCGGAGCAGAGATTTTGAAACATCGCAATGGAGATTAGTAGTTTCGTACTTTAGTCATCGATAGGTATATAGATTTCAATGCCCAGGATAAAGGTCGAAGTTTAACAATTATTTTTGCGTTAAAATATTTTGTATCGACGTCGATTTTTTGACGGGAGACTAGATTTTTGACAATATTTGAATGCAAAACCACTCCCGCAACTCATTTGAATTTGTGACTTTGTGCGCTTGGATTGGACTCGATTCATATAGTAATGATGACTTTATGGATAAATCCTCGATAGGTCTTATTGCCTGCAAGAGCTGAGCATATTTTCAGCATTTTTAAGAATAAAATGGAGATGTTGCATGTGTGAGGAATTTGCGATTTGACTGTTGATTTTTGTGTAAAAGTTCGCGAGGAACACGATGGTGCCACTGGTTTTCTCTGAAATCAACTCCCAAGCTCGAAAAAAGCTCTCAAGTTGAGGCCAAAATGGAGGGTATATCCCACGCTATCCTGAGAGGCCACCTCTACATCAAGAAAAACTCTCCATACAAAGATAGGGAGCAAATACATTGACAGGACTGCCACTTTATTTGGGGACTCAGAAACTGAAAACACGGCATCACTGCTAATGTATTTGCTCCCTATCTTTGCATGGAGAGTTGGTCTTGATGTAGAGGTGGACTTTCAGGAAAGCGTGGGCTATCCCCTCCATTTTGGCTTCAACTTGAGAGCTTTTTTTGAGCTTGGGAATTGATTTCAGAGAAAACCGGTGGCACCATCGTGTTTCTCGCGAACTTTTACACAATAGTAAACAGTCAACTCGCAAATTCCTCACACATGCAACATCTCCATTATACCTTTTACTTTTATGCCACATTCACAGTTGCAAACCGAACATAACACTTATGCAAGCGCCTCTAATTGGCATCAATCACTTCGAAAGCTGCGAAGGGGGGGAGGGAGCCCGCCACAGCGCCCTCCCCCTCCCGTGAGCTTGATTAAGTATATGATTAACGCATCGCGGGTTCACGACCAATCTACATTGTAGCGGAGCGGTTTTAAAAAAATCCGAAAAAGAGGATCCCCAAATTGCTAGGTGCATATGCGTCTACCGCGAACTCCCCCCCCCCTCTCGCGCCGTCAATACGGGGAGGGGGGGGGGAGACGGGGCGCGTATTTTTCGCACCTCATCCGCTACAAGACCGCACACGGAGCCCGGGCAATTAACGGTCTCCCATCAATCCTCGCCCCGCGCGCTATCGTCGTCAACTATTTCGGGGGACTTCCCTCCCTCGACCCCCCGCCCCGGGGCCCACGAATCCGAAACCGCGTCTCCGAGGACGAGAAGTTATTTATTGCGCTTTTGAAGGGAGGGCGGGGGCGGGGGGTAAAAAAACCGCCTCGTCTTTCTTTTTGAGTCCATGAATTTTCCCCCGGCTCGGGCGCGGATCGCGGCTTCCTTCCCCGTTTAATAATGTCATAATATTATGTTTGAGACTTGTTTGACGGACTCGGGGTCTCTCAAATCCAACTCGGCTTAACGAGGCCGCGCTTAAGTGCCCGACAGAGAGCGGTCTCAGAGCCGGAGAAGAGGAGGTAGAAGAGAGGAAGAAAGACGTAAGAGGAGAAGATAAATGATAGGAGAAGAAGGAAAGAAGGAAGAATGAGGGACTGAGGAAAAGAAACTGTCGCTTCTCATTCTTCTTCATTCTCTTCTTTTTCCCATTCTCCTGCCTCCTCTTCGTCTATTCCTACCTCTATAGCCTATTCTTCTTCTACTACCTCTTATTCTTCCTTTCCATATTTTACTATCTCTTCCACCTCTTCTACATCTTATACCTTTTATACCTCTTTTTCTTCTCCTTCCTCTCCTCCCTATTTTCCTCTCCTTTCTTTTCTTCCTCTTCTTCCTTTTCTTCATCTCCTTCCTATCTTCTCCTTGCTCCTAGCCTTATTTTTCTTCTCCTTCTTTTTCTTTTCTCTTTATCTCTTTCGTCTTCTCCTTTTTGGTTCCCTCCTCATCCCTTTTCTCTCTACTGCCTCTCTCTCTTCTCCTAGTTCCGCTTCTTCTCTTTCCATTCTCTCCTTGTTCTCCACTCCTCCCTTTATTCTCCTGTCTCCTCATCATCCGCATATATATATATCCTTTTTCAATGCTTCTTCTTATTTTCAATCTTCATCTTATCCCTTTTTCTTCTTCCTTTGCTTATTTTCCTTATCCTTCCTAGTCTTTCTTTACTCCTTTGCGCCCCTCTCACTTGTTTCCCAATGCGCTCTCATCTGCTCATCTTACACATGTTTCGGGAATTGTAAGACCCGATTCCGTAATAATATCGTTTGAGACTTGTTTGCTCGCCGGCCCCTCGTCACCTCGTGTTCCTGTTTGATGTCTCTGTGTCGACCGCCGCACAGTGGATCGAGTCAACAAGAGAGGACGGTCATGAAATTTTCAACTAAAATTGCGAATTTCGATGTTTATTTCGTCAAATTTTAGAGTTCAAGGGGTGCTTGTAGCAGGAAATTTTACGAGGAAAGCAGTGAAACCAATTTTAGAACCTCAAAATTTTGTATGGATGGAGTTATAAGCTATTAAAGTTTCCAGATGTTGTCTGACCTCTCCTATTGACCCGATCCACTGTGCGTCGCCGTTCGCCGTGAGCGCGCGCTGGGCCCCCATTGTCACCCCGTCTTGTTACAGCTGCGTTTTATGGGTTCCACTCGCTAAGTGAGATTTCTTTGATTCCGGATTAGGCGCCGAAGAATAGGGGTGCCATTCATCAATTTTCTTATGAGAAATTGCTCGAGTTTTGCAATTTCATAGCTGAGCCTCTCCAAGAAACCATCAAACCTTCGTGCAGACTATGAGGAAACACTGTTTCTTTCTCTCTTTCCCCTCCCTTCATCCCTTCCTCCTCCCTGCCTCCATCATCTTTCCCCCCACTCCATCCTCCCTTTCTTTCTGCCCACTGTACGGATAGGAAAACCCAGTGGTAGCTAACAGACTATATGGCTATGTATGATTCTACTGAAATGTAGTAGCCAACACAAAATTATCGGCAGCGATAATCTTAAGTCTAGTAGATTATCACCTAGATACGGACATACTTGATTACGGTTAAAAGTTAGTTGAAAAAGTATCGGCAAAAAATAACTTACGAGTTGATTCTGGTACGCAGTGACCGCTGTGAATATAGTTTCTGGGTAAATAAACGTTTTGTACTCCTCTTGCTCTAAATCAACGATTGGCTGAGTCATTGTCGATTCAGTTCTCCTTAGTATATGCACACGAGGTTGATATTTATGCATTGAGTTTAGCACCAACTGAAACAGAGGAAAGTGAATTTGCATTCAGGCTTTTTATTCTCTCTCTAAGAGAAGACGTAGCATATGCATTTAGAATTAACTGAATGTCTCTCGATACAAATCGAATTTTTTAGAAGGTTTACCAATATTTTCTTTGAATTTTCCAGAGAATTTTAATCCTGCCCTCTCTACTTTTGTGCATTCGAACATTTCAAGGAGAAATGCTCATCATTTTTCATAAAAATGAACATTTTGTTTGAAGATAGGCAACATCTGGGTTTTCATTCAACATTTCTCCCGAGATTGTTAGTATAATAAGCCGAGTTGCTGATTTTCAAAATTTCCTTGAAACAACGAAAGCTGTGATCGGTGATCGCACAAAATAGTATGACTAATCAACTAGACTCTTCTTATCTTTATCAGGTTTGCCGAAAGTTACAGTTACTACATCACCGTTTCAAAAATCAAGTAAAAGTGTCGTGAAGTCTACTGGTATTAGTGTTCTAGTGTTTTAGTAGGATTAGATTCGATCACATTCTCAGCGCATAGCCCAAAGTCTCCAGAATGGTGTGTGAAATAAAATGTGAATGTAGGGGCTTGGAGAACAAGGCGTATAAGTGCGGCTTTTGCTATTTCGAGAAATACATGTTTGAAGTATTGAAATTACATGGATCCTTATGGCGGAACGAAAGTTCAAACTGAATTTCTTGATGCTTAAAAATTGGAATTTGGGAGCAAATTTTTCACAGCATATGCATTATCTAAGACTAGTTTTACTTGACATCATTAATATATCAATGTTTTCAAAATCTAAACATCTGTGCCTTGTCCTCCAAGCCCCGCATTTAAGACACTCAAGATGTTAAGATACATTTTGCAACTGTTTGTAACCGAATTTAATGTTATTCGCGGCAACTTTTTTCGGAATCAGCTAACAATGCTAGATTAAGCTGCCAGGGACCAAATACTGAATATCTCTCATTAGAACCCTGCCCACGAATATGCTCAATTAGCGGGACGTCCATGAAAAACTCAGCAAACCAGCAGTTAAGTAACATTATTAACTCGTGGAGAATCTGGCCATACTTTACACCAACATTACGCGCCATTTATTTTTTACGTTCACACTCACGCTCAGCTTCAGCCATTTCATGGAATAAATTAATACTATCACTATAATAATTCAAAACTTCAAACTTGAAATTGTTGCGCGGAAGAACTGGACCGGCTAAAAATGCATCGTTTTAATTAAGCATTTAGCGTAATTAGTATTAATATTGGTTCAATTAACCTCTGGGATAATGTTCGCGGGATAAAATATTCCTACCGTGAGTGTAGCTCGAATGGGCTTTCTTAGCGTCATAATTATCACAACCCATTAAAAATGGCTTCCCACCCACAAAAGACTTAATTAAGGAAAAATATCAGTTAGCACTTGTGTTGGATCGACCTACAATTTTCTACGCTCGTAATCCTAATAATATGAACTTTAAAATGCTGTATTACGAAGACGAGCCTTGCGAGCTTAAACTAAAACTTTTACCAGACGCCTAATTGTCTACGGGTTTCATTTTAAAGAGTCGATGGAACTCTGCGGTTTTCAATAAAAGGGAAAAAAGGCTCTTGGCTCCTAGACTCTTTTTGAGGTTTACTCTCAAAGTTAAATGGCTTTTCGGAAAAACGGCCCATATCAAAAATCGTCATTGAAAAAAATGCATCTAAAGTTCTAATTATTATTTTCTGGCCAATGACGATGACTTGCATCGGAACTTGGGCACTTAGATCAAAGTTTACACACTCTAGAATGAAAAACGGTCATGAGTAAAACTTCCGATGCAATTTTCTCAAAACGCTAGTTTTATTTTTCCCCCGGAAAGCTGCTCAATTATATGTGGGTTATGAATAAGGGGCTTGGAGGACAAGGCGCATAAAATCAGTTTTTGCTATTTTAAGATATACATATTTGAAGTTTTGGAATACATGGATCCTTATTGTGCGCGGACAAAAAGTTCAAACTGACTTTTTCATGAATAGAAATTAGAATTTGGGAGCGAATTTTTCACAAAATATGCATTATGACTAGTATTACTTGAAATCTTTAAAATGTCAATTTTTTCAAAAATTGCACTTGTCCTCCAAGCTCCTCAAATGAAAGAGCGTTTTAAGTGTATTTCTACTATAAAGTCACAGCTAGAACCTTTCCAGGACGAGAGAAATACTTGCTCGCCGTTACTAATATGCCCCAATTATTTGAATGCGTGACTTACATGTCCGTGTTTATCCATCTCGTTGTTGGTAAGTTTGACTTTTTCGAAGGACACATTTTGTTTAGTGAGTTGCTCGCCGGTGAAGGGCGAATCAGGATGTTGGTAGAGCCGAGGAGGGGCCGGAGGATCAGCCTTGCCGGCGACCAGCCACGAAGACCGATGGTAGGCGTACCTATACCGTTTGTTGTCCACTGGCACGATGTCCATCACCACCGCGTACCTCTGGTCCGGCCTTAAATTCCCGAAAGTCACTCGCACCGTCGGGAACATCCGCCTGCAACAAGCGGAAAAAACACTTTTGATAACATTTGAACGAAAATTAAACGCACTTGTGGAAACAGTGGGTCTGCTAGAACCCTTTGATGGGGCAAAAAGACACAGAAAAAAAAGTGAAGTTGATTTGACGTTCTGGATGTAAAACAAGCAGGTAGCTCCAACGCATTGGCGTCGGAGAGCGGCTCTGGGGGCAGTAGTTGTAGTCAAGAATGAGGGCCTAGACACATTTTGTCATTGATGTACAATCCGACAACTGTCGATTCATGTTTTGTAACTTAGACGGTTTCCCTGGTAACCTTTGTTTGCTATCAGCTGATATCGAGTAAATGACTAGGAAGCTCCAACCCAGTGGTTAAAGCTTCCTTAACCGCGAAAACTTTAAAATTCAAATTTTCAAATTTTGAACGTAAAGTACATTTTTTCCATCACGAGATAAAAGCACAAACAAGTTTTGAATTGTTGACTGTATCACCATGATTCCAAAAATACAATACACAACATAGCATTGACTAACAATAAAACAGTATGCAATAAAATAAAGTCATGACAAGGAACATAGCCGAAAATGGCGCCGATTCCCATCAACCAACGCGCGGTCTCTACAATGTAACATGCTGCATTGATACTCCCCAGCTGGGACCGTCCGGAATAGCAGCTCTAGTGCAAGCACCAGAGCCGCTAAAAAGTGAGCGTGAACTTATGAAATGCTGAATGGAGATGTTGCATGTGTGAGGAATTTGCGATTTGACTGATGATTCTTAGGTAAAATTTTGCGAGAAACACGATGGTGCCACTGGTTTTCTCTGAAATCAACTCCCAAGCTCAAAAAATGCTCTCAAGTTGAGGCCAAAATGGAGGGGATAGCCCACGCTATCCTAAGAGCCCACCTCTACATCAAGACAAACGATACCTCCTATATCCTCTTTGTCTATAGCTTTGTCTATCAATTTCAATAATCGGCCCGCTGCTCTACTTAAATTTTTCAAGTATAGCCCGGGGAGCGTAGTCTCGGGATTGGACCGCGTAGTAGCCAGGGGACTTACCCCTATTATTTCTCATACGCAGCAGCAGGATGCGAAAATCAGATGCGATATCAGGGGTGGCTGCGTCCGAGGGTAAAGACAAGACGATTAACTGCGGTGCAGGCGGGATGAGGCAGGGAGGGGTGGGGGTGGGGGCTGGGGGGATGCGAGGGGGCTAACTTTGGGGCAATGGAGCAGTTAATTGTGAGGGCTGAGACGGGGCAGGTTTCTCGGGAGCTTCCAAAGCTCGAAGGTGGCGGACTGGGTGGCGGGCAGAGGGCCAAAGCCTACAGCCATGCTGAAAACGGTCCCGTCGTAAATCACCCGCCCCCCTGCCAAATCGCCCGAAAATCCCGGGAACCGTTGGGACGCGCTCAGGAAAAACATAGCACGAACACCTAGACGTTGCCGGGCTCCTGCAGATAAAAACATAAATTCTTGCTGATTTGCGCACACTTCCCTTCAAAATTTTCGTAGAATTTTAGTAGCAGTATGATCTAATTTTTGTGGAGAATACCAAAAAAATATATCCATAACTTTAAGTGAGAATAAATCTTTTTTTAGAAGAAACTTGGCAACGTTTAAATGTTCACCCGACGTTTTTACCTCAGTATTGCTACGTTGGGTTTTGGAAAATTCGGCATCTCGGTGTCGCGAAGATTATTTAATTCGCGAGTGGAGGGTGTGGATCTCGTTTATTCGAGGAAATAATTCGGTAGGCGGGTTCTTTTATTTCGTGTTCGGTTCGATGCGGCAACATCGCGAGGTTGTGATTTATGTGAAGATTCGGAATGGACGCCCAAATGCTCGACGCCCGCCGTGCAGTGACGCTTACCTTAGCTCGCAAACGTATTGCCAAAATTTATACGTGCTGTTAACGAAGTCTGTTTGGTGGGACGTTTTCGCGCGAAAGGCAATCAACGAGGTAGTGCTGGAAAAAGGCATGGGTGTTACTCGCACTCAAAAAAACCTCCGGCCGTGCGAGCCGAAAGTAATGGACCCGGAGCACGGACTGTACGGGCTATATACGACTACCGTCCGTTCCGCGTCCGGGGGCCGGAGCACTCCGGGCGCCGAACGCCCGGACCACTCCGGACGCCGAACGCCCGGACCACTCCGGACGCGCAGCCCGGAATTCGCGGCTGTGAGGGTCATTCACCGATGGCTTCCATAGCCGCGAATTCCGGGCTATCAAAACACGGAATGCTCTGGGCAGACGCTAATTTTTTTATCTAGGTACATACTTCTTTGTTAATATTTCATGACAATTTAATTTCAGGAATGTAATGGATGCATCACTGACTGAGAAAGATTCAGATCAGATTCAGATTTCATTTATTAATAAAGAAAATAAATGAAATCTGAATCTGATCTGAATCTTTCTCAGTCAGTGATGTATCCATCACATTCCTGAAATTAAATTGTTATGAACTATTAACAAAGAAGTATATACCTATTTTAAAAAAAAAGAAAGAAAGAAAAGGAGCATATGAACGTTAGCTTGTTGATCATGTTTGAGATATCAAGAGAGATTTGAACTTCTTGGCTGATAGTTCAGCAAGTTTGAGAAAAGAGATAAGTAATTCTCTTATTGAGTAAGCAAAGCAGCACATGAATGTTAGCTTATTCATCTTGTAAAAAAAATCGAGAGAGATTTTCAAAAACCTAACTTTAATGTTGCAAGCCTTCCTAGAAAAAAATAAAGCACTCTGATTTTTAGATACCAGAATGAACTTGGCTTGGAAGTATTCAGCTGATTCTTAACTTTGCAAAATATACCTTGGAATTTATTTTTAGGGCAAAGATGAGTAAAGTTCATAGATTTGAAACAGTTGCCTATTGCTTACTAAGTCTGTGAAATACTTGTCAATGTTTCATGGATAAAACAAACAAAAAATTGGAAAATTATTCCTCTCAGCCATCAATATTCAATTAACTGGGTACAACGTTATGGAAATAGTCCAACCACTGAGACATGAAGGAACAAATTTAGATGGATCAAAAATTCTTGCTACCTATTTTAGTTGTAGAATAGACTGCCGAAGGTGATAAATTTCTAAAACTCATTGCAGCGAAAATGCAAACTGAAAAATCATTTTTATCACTTGGCAGCCCGTTCTCAATAAATGTAATTACTTTCACTCAATGAGAATTCAGAATTTGTCAAAAACAAGAAATCCCTCGATAAAAAATACGAAGTCAAAGTAGGAAATCACCTAAATGATTAACAAAGGAAAACCACTGGCGTAGGTCTAGGTACTTACTTACAGATTTTTACTTCTTACGACTAGAAGAGCTTCAGAATCTTGAAAATGAGGTTGAGACTATTTCAAGGTGTAAATTCAGTAGTAAAAGTTGACAAAACTTCAAGATATAACTCTCCGCAATAACTACCGGATACAATTTCCACAAAATATTAGCGAAGAAATATACCACCGAAAATTGTCACACTTGTTAAAATTATAGATCTTCCCTTCAGCAAACTGAAGCGCGATTCACACAGGATTTTACCACTATTACAGTAACACTGAGCTCCCTAGAATTGGGATATGGAATCAGAGAGATTATTCACGGTAACAACGTTCGAGCTTGCTCTCACTATTAGATAATTTGCGCAGGATAGGTTCTACATTTTACGGGTACAGTTTCCGCTATCAAACAGCTGTTTTTGTAACAGAGAGGGGAGATGTCAGAGACTGCAATACTACTCACAGTTGAAAACATTTATGAGTTAGAGATTAGATCGAAATGGAATAAAAACTGTATCCTCTTACACAGGCAGAACAAAGCAATTAGGTAAGTGACAGAATATAGTTCGGAATAAATGGACATTCTCGTGCCTACATTATCAGTATTTTAGTGTGGCGATAATTTACTCTGTGGGAAGATGCGTGGCAGGTAATTGATTCCTTTTCTTTGATTTAAGTTCTCTCCCTTAGTAGGGGGAAAATAAGTGAATTGCAAACGAACTTACAGGAGAGGGTATGAGCTCAGTGTACTGGTACCAAAACTGACAATTTTAACTTCATTCCCGTCGCATTTCTGGAAGTATTTGACAAGCGTTATCACACAGAACTTTAGAATCAATCGTGCACCACACAGAATCAAGAAAATAGATTGAAAACCTCCAAAATTAAACGAAAAACGAACACACGTAATGAGCGGTGACCAGCAATGACAAAGCTATTTAGAGACTAACCTCAATAAACAACGCTGAGTGGTGGCTTCGATCGCTCCCGAATATGTCGAAGGCTGGCGGCAACTTTAAATTCACGCACTGAATAAAATTGAAGTAAAACATTATAATTTTCTGCGAATTTGCACCGGGCCGTCTCAATTTTAATCCGATGGTGACGCCATTTTCCCGAACACTGAGTAACGGACTATCGGACTCCGGCCGGGCGGGTCGAAAATTCCGACCGTGGAAGCCGGAGCTTCCGGCTGGGCAGTAACCGATCGACCGACCTCGGAGCCCGTAGCACCCCTGGCGGACTCCGGCTGCTGTGCCCAGAAATTACGTTTTCACGACCCGATAACATCGGAGTCACCAACATCGAGAACAACCGGGTCCTGTCGCCGGAGTTTTTTTTTTGAGTGCGTGTAACAATTGTGGCAGAAAACGCGCATCTGCATCTGTAACCAGACGTATCAAATTTTCGCAGGTTTTTTATTTCAATTCGGTGACAGCGAGATTATCGGCGAATTATTATCTGTCGATGGCTGCGTAAATCGATTGGACACTCATACGTCGGATTTCTGATTCTGAAGATATCACCATAAAATAATTGACATGGATAATCATGGAATTCAAAAAACAGCGCCTGCGCCCTGCGCCTACTAAATGTCTGTGTTGCATAGTCGAAAAGAAGATGTTGCACTCACTTCAAGTGCGTTTACGGTAACGTTCATTGTGCAGAAGAAAAATCAACTCGGGATGCATCTATTCGTGTTCGACAGATATCCGTGTTGCATACTC